TATGTATGTATGAGAGATCCATATCACACACAGGACGTACGGATAATTACTGTTACTGATGACCCTCACAGTAACTACCCCTCTCACGGTCTTCATCAGTTAATAATAATAACTACTAAAACAAAAACAACGTAATGTCCAACCCAGCGCACCGACAGAACGCACAAAAACAAAGGAACGTCAGGAAGCGGCAAGATATTCTAATTACAGGTAGAGAGTTACGCCCTTACGCCTCCCCCTACACCCTCCCCCCACCCACCAGAACCAAGGTAAAAAAGTATTGTCAGTTCCGCTAATGAACCTCGAAGTTAAGTTAGCTGTCATCTCTTATAATAACTTGTGTTTCGTAGGGTAGGGTAGGGTGTGGGTAGGGGTGGGTAGGGTAGGGTAGGGGTGGGCAGGGTAGGGTAGGGTTGGGGTGGGCAGGGTAGGGTTGGGTAGGGTAGGGTAGGGCAGGGTAGGGTAGGGTAGGGCAGGGTTGGGTAGGGTAGGGCAGGGTAGGGTAGGGCAGGGGTGGGCAGGGGTGGGCAGGGTAGGGTTTGGTAGGGTTTGACTGAACCAGTACAGCCCCCTCATCAACCACCTCCCGCCCACCTACTGTCCTCATGTCCTGGATCACCACCTCACCCAGCCCTGCCCTGCCTGCTGTGACGTCATTGTTGCCATACGTCGCACTCCACAAGTAAACATTGACTTCCCACCCATCACCTGAAGATAACTTTGTCATTTTCTTTGGTAGTTTGTGACGGCATTTCTATCTTACGTTCGATTATGACTTTAAAAACACAATAACCCTCACATAATATTACTTGTTAACATTACACAGGTATCGTTGAGTTCACTGTAACGACATTGAACAGGATAATGAACACAGGGGGATTAACCTTCAAAGTCACACTCACTGATGAACGAAAAAGTCAAATGTTCACCTAGCTGCTGACGTCACACTTAACGTTCGAGTAACCGAGACAAAAATATAAAAAAAAATAACTTTAAAACGTCCGCACACACACACACACACACACACATACACCCACACACACACACACACACACACACACACACACACCCACACACACACACACACACATACACCCACACACACACACCCACACACACACCCACACCTACACGCTACCTGCTTGGAGCTATCACCCTCAAACACCGTCAGCAGGGTCGTGTAGGTCAACCCTCCCAGCCTATGTTGTTTTACCTGAGGGGTGGTAGGCCAGAGGTAAAGAAAGGTCAAGGGGTCAAGCATAATAATCAATAGGCTGAGTGACTGCGGAAGATCAGGGGAGTGGTCTATAGTCTTCCTCCTCCTCCTCCTCAGCCTCCTCCTCCTCTTCCTCAGCCTCCGCCTCCTCCTCCTTTTCACCCCTCCTACATCATTGGAACTACCCCCCCACTGGTTGACTGTTCGTAGCGGTCGACATGTTTTCCGTTCCTATTTTTAGGTTAGGTTAGGTTAGAGTCGAGATGGATTAAGCGCTTTCTACTGTACACCACACCACCCCCAGCACTATCACCACACCACCCCCAGCACTATCACCACACCACCACACAACCCTCAGGTGAAGGCTAGGTTAAGGTGTCCTAGGTTAGGTTAGGTTGAGGTGAGGTAGGTTAGGTTAGGTTCATTTTCCTAACCATTACCAACACACATTTCTTCACGGTATCAGAAGTAACTCGCCTCCTCCAATCACCAGTTACCAGGACAAACACTCTACCAGTAACCTCCACACGACGTCACTGCCGCCTCTTACGGATTATCGCCGGAAGTGAAACGCCCATGTCGTCATATCCAAACATTTCCCAATATCCCTCCGTGTCCCCCCCTGTGTCCCCCCTGTGTCCCTCCTGTGTCCCCTGAGAGCAGGACACGTGGCAGATCACCTGATGATTTATACACCCTAGCTTCTTTTATCTGACGAGACATCCTAACGGGGCGACATGATAGGTTAGGTTAGGTTGAGCTGGGCTAGGTTAAGTTAAGTTAGGTTAGGTTAGGTAGGGTAAGGTAAAGTAAAGTAAGGTTAGGTTAGGTCCCGGGTATAATCACTTATGGTACTTATTGAAGATACAGTTAGCTCTCACCAAATCTTATGTTCTTATATAGCCCGCTAAACAGAGGTGTCACTATATTAAAACTTACAACAAAGCGAAAATAACACAGCTGTTTAAATCAATGCTGTGTTAAGTATAGGATGGTTGGGTTAGGTTAGGCAAGGTTAGGCGAGGTTCAAGGGCAGCTGGCAATCCCTAAGCCTAGGGGGGGTGGAGGGAGGCCTTTAAGGGAGGGAGGCCTTTGTTAGCAGGTGGTGACTGGTTGACAAGGTTAGTACAGAGGAGGGGCGTGTTACTGCCTCTCATTAATAGTCACCACAAATCAACACCTGGGTGGGGCTATACCTGCCTGGTATTCTAATGGACGGCGGCCACCTTGTCTGTTTGTGTTACCGGATCCTCAGGTGGGATTTGATGGTGTTAAAATTTATACATGTATCCATATCAGCACACACACACACACACACACACACAGACCAAGGAGAACACACCAAGTAACACGATCATAGTAGAGGTCATTAAGGGTGTGTATAACAGCCCCCAGTGGTCAGGATATTATGGTGGAATATTACAGAGTGTTTCTAATACATTGTTTGTTTAGTTCTGTACATAGAGGTTGACTTATTCACACCTGCCTTAGAGTGAGGTAGTATGTCTGGCCTCACACTTTGTTATTCACACCTGCCTTAGAGTGAGGTAGTATGTCTGGCCTCACACTTTGTTATTCACACCTGCCTTAGAGTGAGGTAGTATGTCACTGTTATTCCACCTGTTAGAGTGTATGTCTGGCCTCACACTTTGTTATTCACACCTGCCTTAGAGTGAGGCTATGTCTGGCCTCACACTTTGTTATTCACACCTGCCTTAGAGTGAGGTAGTATGTCTGGCCTCACATTTGCGTGAGAGGTATTTAAGGACATTGTGTGTTTGGTTCTATACATGGGAGCTGATATAACTACTGAGAGCACAAAAAGTGGATACAATCTTAACACGTCAGATTGTGCCATTCCCTAAAAGGTTCTATCTTCACACAGTCAAGGACGTAGTGTTCGAGCGTGTGGCCATAGATAGGGTAGGGTAGGGTAGGGTAGGGTAGGGTAGGGTAGGGTACGGTACTAGGGTAGCATTGTTAACCTACAGGTGAAATAAGCTGGGGGGGCTAATCTTCATGTGATCAATCTAATTTCTAACCATAACACTACCTTGCAAACTAGTGACAGAATTCGAGGTAATACTACATACTCCCTACGATCTAATACGTACAACAGATAACCAATACTTATATCAAATACTTACATCAATGGGCCTAGGCAATAAAGGTATATTCTAGCATAAACACCTGAGATATTAATGTACTCTAACCTACTCGAGGATAATATAGCAAATAAAAACTAAAATATACTAAATTATCGCCCCAATTATTTTTTTTTTCACAGAGTTTAATCAGATACTAACGGTGAAAATAATACTGCAATAATAAACAACATGCGAAAGACCCGTTACTTACGACCCGTCAGAAAACTGTTCCTCGTGTATGATGAGAATGACTTACCGGGACGAGTTGAGACGGGTGGGTGGGTGGGTGGGTAAGGTGGGTTGGTTGGTGGGTGGGTGAGAGTTACCAGCCCACCACCAAGCATTATTATTATGGTCGAGGGCAGGTATGTAATGTACTTACCTCTTGCCAAATTAATATGAATTGAGGTCACGTGTAGACACCTGTTGTACCTGTTAACTGGGGTGACGTGTACACACCTGTTACATAACCCTGGCTGTACATGTAAGTGGGGTACATTGTGTAACTCCAGCCTAACACCTGATGTACTCCTAACATAAACCACTGCTCTATAGTACTGTACACACCAGCCTCACACTTGATGTACTCCTAACATAAACCACTGCTCTATAGTACTGTACCCCAGCCTCACCTGATGTACTCTAACATAAACCACTGCTCTGTTTGCACAACCTCACACCTGATGTACTTACAACCTGCTCTATAGTACTGTACACCCCAGCCTAACACCTGATGTGCCTCTAACACAAACACTGCTCTATTACTGTACACCCCAGCCTAACACCTGATGTGCTCCTAACATAAACCACTGCTCTATAGTACTGTACATCCCAGCCTAACACCTGATGTACTCCTAACATAAACCACTGCTCTATGGTACTGCTGCACCCCCAGCCTCACACCTGATGTACTCTAACATAAACCACTGCTCTATAGTACTGTACACCCCAGCCTCACACCTGATGTATCCAACATAAACCACTGCTCTATAGTACTGTACACCCCAGCCTCACACCTGATGTACTCTCTAACATCCACTGCTCTATAGTACTGTACACCCCAGCCTAACACCTGATGTGCTCCTAACATAAACCACTGCTCTATAGTACTGTACACCCCAGCCTCACACCTGATGTACTCCTAACATAAACCACTGCTCTATAGTACTGTACACCCCAGCCTAACACCTGATGTGCTCCTAACATAAACCACTGCTCTATAGTACTGTACACCCCAGCCTAACACCTGATGTACTCCTAACATAAACCACTGCTCAATAGTACTGTACACCCCAGCCTCACACCTGATGTAATTCCCAACATAAACCACTGCTCTATAGTACTGCACACCCTGTGCCTCATACCCCTGATGTACTTCCTAACATAAACCACTGCTCTATAGTACTGTACACCCCCAGCCTAACACCTGATGTACTCCTAACATAAACCACTGCTCTATAGTACTGTACACCCCAGCCTAACACCTGATGTGCTCCTAACATAAACCACTGCTCTATAGTACTGTACACCCCAGCCTAACACCTGATGTACTCCTAACATAAACCACTGCTCAATAGTACTGTACATCCTAGAGTACCTTCCACCTTCTGTACACAAGAGCCAGGCACAGTACTCACCTGCTGTAGACCCTGCAGGTGGCGTTATTGACCCGGGAGTCAGACAGGTACCGGCGGCGGTCCTCGAAAGCGTCTTTGATGGCGGTGATGCCCAGCACGAAGAGGAGGGGCAACATGGCCACCTCTTTCCCGAAGGCGTTCACCGCCGGTACGAAGTTCAGCAGTACGATGAACAGGAAGTACAAGTTGGCGAACCTGCACACACACGGGGAGGAGAAGGATAGAAGGATGAACAATCTTAATACTCTCTCTCTCATCTATAAACCATCATAATATATATAAAACATAAGCCATCTTTACAGTGCCTCATAAAGCACCCTGAGTCTCCATCACTCACCTGTGGAACTGCTCGAACAGGTTCTTGGGCAGGAAGGAGAGGATGGTATACTTGGTGGTGCAGATGCTGTTGTCTGGGTAGCCTCCGTTGGGGTGTTGGCCGCGGGACACATGGGGCGGCACCACGTGGTTAGCCACTACCACCCGGGTCCGTGACTCATCCGGCACCTACAGGAGGAGGGAGGTGTTGAGGTGTGTTGTTTTACCTGCCTGTGTATATTGTAATGTATACTCTCTCTCTCTCTCTCTCTCTCTCTCTCTCCCTCCCTCTCTCTCCCCCTCTCTCTCCCTGCGGACACACCCTCCAACCTTCCAGTACAGTATCATCACAAAACACATTAATTCTATAACTCAGGCGTCATCTGTCTCTTGTCAACGTAAAGTATAAAGAGAAGAGCAATGTTGTCTGACCACTGATGTATTAATAACTCACTACTGTTTTATTGCCTACTCCTGGTAGATTGTTTAGGACCCCACTCAAAGAAGAGAGCCTGGGGGCACACGCAGAGACACAAACACTGGCTGAGTGAGTCATTACCTTCTTCCAGAACATGAGCTTCTGAAGGAGTGTTCTCTTGTTCTGCCTGATGGTGTAGATGGACTCAGTGCGTGAGGCCTGGCGGGAGTGGCCCTTAGGGAAGGAAGTGGTCCTCGTCAGCGTCTTCTTCTGCTGCTGTTCTCTCTCCCTCTCCCGCTGTTCGTGGCCCGCCGGCAGGATAAAGTCTGTCTTAGAGCCCGCCCGCCGGTGTCCCCGCCCGCCCTCCACCAGCTGCCCGTGGGAGAAGGTCCTCTGATGACCCCTGGCCATCCCTCCTCCAGCGCCGTTGACACTGTTTCCAGAGCCGCCCACTCCTTGAGGCAGGGTGCCGCCCACACCTGAGGCTGATCAACCATAACAAATTAATAATAATCCGTCAGTTGCATAACACTTAAGGTACACACGACACTCTGGGGGCAACACTACTTCAGTCTGAGACGGTCCTTGTTCCTCTGGTGAAGGTCCTATTGGTCCATACTAGGCAGTCCCATTTACACCCAACCCCTATCGCTCATATATCCACCCAGCCTATGTTTGAAGCTATCCAGCGTATTCCAGTTCATGATGATATTTGGTAACCTGTTCCACTCGTCCACTACTCTATTTTCAAACCAATGTTTACCTATCTCGCGCCTAAATCTAAATTTGTATAATTTAAAACCATCGAAACTAATTTAAAACCACACTCTCTCTCTCTCTCTCTCTTACCTTGATCAAGAGTGAGCGGCTCCCTGGTAATCATGACGCCCCCATGAGACACACTACGGCCGTGACACCACCGCCGGCCTCCCACTCCCGAGGCCCCGCCACTGCTGTAGGCATGGGCACTGCCATCACCGTACGCCCCGCCACCACCATAGGCACGGGCGCTGCCATCACCGTACCCATCACCGCCGCCCGAAGTGCCGTTCATACTTATGCAACATCACTCCATTCATGCCTGTAAATAAAGCATTAATATTAATAATGGTGGCAACAACAATAATAATAATGTCTTTATAACAATAACATCACATACAATAACATACAGGGTGTAACAAAAGTCTGGAATCATATGGTTATGTACACTAATTTCACTTTAATAACACGTGGATGGGGAGACTCCGAGGTACCAGGGAAACGGATCGGTTTATGATCACTGACGTTCCCCCTGATTTTTTTCTTGCGGGGGAGGAGGGGGAGGGGAAGGGGGAGGCAAAACATGGTAATGACTCCCAAGTTAATTAACATATATGTATTATAGTTCCTAGAGAGTGAGGCACTTCCCACAAACACCTGGCTGCTGTCACTCTCCTCCTACTGCCACCTGTCAAAACCACCATCACAATGACACACACATATGACCCATACAACCTCCATCCTCTGTCTCTGTCACCCCACAGAGAGAGAGAGAGAGAGAGAGAGAGAGAGAGAGAGAGAGAGAGAGAGAGAGAGAGAGAGAGAGAGAGAGAGAGAGACCCCAATCCCCGTGACCACCAATTGACACACACACACACCTCTTAATGCCATACTGAGGCCACCTAATGACCCCCTCCTTCATAGTCTGTTATTTGAGACGGTATTACTGCTGTTAGTGACAATTACATTACCTAATTATCGGTTTAAGTCTTCTATATAATAATAATAATAATAATAATAATAATAATAATAATAATAATAATGATGATGATGATGATGATGATGATGATGATGATGATGATGATGATGATGATAATAATAATGATAATGATAATAATAATAATAATAATAATAATAATAATAATAATAATAATAATAATAATAATGATAATAATAATGATGATGATGATGATGATGATGATGATGATGATGATGATGATGATGATGATAATAATAATGATAATGATAATAATAATAATAATAATAATGATAATAATAATAATAATAATAATAATGATAATAATAATGATGATGATGATGATGATGATGATGATGATGATAATAATAATGATAATGATAATAATAATAATAATAGTACCCTAATAATAGTAATAGTATTAATAATAGCCAATTTACAACACTAGCAACACCAACATCATTACAACAGGAGTAACAAGGAAAGGAGGAGGAGTAGGAGGAGGAAGAAGGAGAGGGAGGGGGAGGAAGAGTGAGGAGGAGAGGGAGGGGGAGGAAGAAGAAGAGTGAGGAGGAAGAGGATGAACAACAATGTTTGTGGTCTGGTGTGAGTAATGTTTACAGAGAGGGGGAAGATGAGAGAGGAAGGAGGGAAGAGGGGTGGATGGAAAGGAGGGAGGGAGAGGAAGGATGGAAGAGGGGTGGATGGAAAGGAGGGAGGGAAAGGAGGGAGGGAGGGAAAGGAGGGAAGGGGAGAGGAGGAGAGGCGTGTGGTGGGGGAGGGGTGATAAATGCACTGAATCCTATTGTTTACTGATAGCCAGAGTACACAACAGCGGTGGTAGTTAAATAGAGTTGTTTACACCAGTCCAGAGTAAAAACAAAGAGTGAGGAGGAAGATAAGAATTGTTTACAGAGGTTCAAGTGTAGACAAGAGTGGACAAAAGTGAGGAGGAAGCTCATAAAGATTTGTTTATGATAGATGCAGACAAAAGTAGAGAGGAAGGAGGGGGTCTACCAAGGTCATCGGTAGACAACAGTAAACAGTGTGGTCTTACAGGTATCCGAGACCAAGGTGAGCTCTCTCTCTCTCTCTCTCTCTACTCTAATATATATCCACGTACACCTCCCCCCCACCCCCTGCCAGTAACCACGAACGCTACACATTATATCAACAAACAAACGAACAGCCACGGACGACAAGGCACGTACACGTTCTTAACCAAAAACCTTCACGTGTCTGGGGGGTTTTACCACTACACAATAAACAATAGATAAGGGGTGGGGGTAAGGGGTGGGGGTAAGGGGTGATAAGGGGTAATAAGGGGTAGTAGTAACGTGCAGGTAGACAACACACACACACAGTCGCCACCATTAATGTCAACAACACACTCACAAGGATGTAGACCAGCAGTTGTTCCCTTACCTAACCTTTGTGTTCTTACCCGCGGTGTTTGAACCCACCCACTCACCCACCTGCCCACTCACCACCACCACCCACTCACCCACCTGCCCACTTACTACCACCACCCACTCAATGCCTCAGCCGACCACCAGGTAAGGAATATAAATTGTTCATACTATTTTTGCAGCATCCGTCACACACACACACACACACACGGCCTGAGATCTGTCATCGAACACGTAAGCTCCAGCAAAAATATTCTCATGCTTTTACTTCTGCTGAACTTGTATGACCTTGGCTTTTGACCCCACCACCACCATTAACCTTTCTCTACCCACCCACCCACCCACTCACTCAGTACCATCACCACTCATCTCCCAGTCGCCCACCACCCAGTCGCCGCCCACCATCACAACCCACCCCCCCCACCACTGCCATCCACTCGGCACTCACTACCACCAACTATCCACTCACCACTCAGTCGCCCACCATCAACGCCACCCACCACCACCCACCCACCCAGGGACCACTACATACCTGTCTTAATATCTCTTAACTACAGGTAAACTTGATATAACGTTAACATTACTCATTACACACGTACACCCACGCCAAAGCTCTCAACGTGTTTTCGCATCTTATGACCCTCTGTAACCTTTGACCTCACGACAGTCACCAGGTAAGGCTAACTTAAGTTTACCTACGGATCACCTGAAGATCAGTCCCTCTAAGTTATTTCATCTGATGAGTAACCATCCTAGCGCTACCTGGGATGGGAGTTAGGTAAGGTAAGATTACAATAGGGTATCTTAAGGTGAAATACAGTGATGACCTTCCGTGATATTGACCTGACCACCCCCCACACTGGTCGTAATTTTCGTAGCGTTATTGTTATTCCACCTGTAACACGGGCAGTCACTAGGCACGTCCTGTACACCCACCTTATACCCTCCGTCCAGAATCCTAGATGTGTTTTGATGCTGTTGACCTTTGACTACACACACACACACATATACATACACAAACAAACACACAAACACATACACAAACACACATATACATACATACACACACACACGGCTCTCTGTGACCTTGACCATGCTCTTATTTTTCCTTACAAGGTTACAAGGAAGAATGCGAAGTCTTCACACAACTGCCCACTCACACAGTCAGCCCTGCAGAGCTTACCACAGGCTGGCGTCAAGTATCTTGGTGACCCCAGGGCGCGCACATACACGCACTACCCTCTGTCACCTTGATCTCCAAATCCGGCAGTAGCGCCCCTACCACCTCATCACCTCCACAATCCCCCCTCATCACCACCACCACAACCCCCCTCATCACCACCACACCCCCATCACTCACCACACCTAATCACCACCACCCCATCACCACCATTAACTCTAATACCACCACAATCCCTCACCACCACCACCCCCCATCATCACCACAACCCCCCATCACCACCACAATCCCCTCACCACCACCAATAAACCCCACTAACCACCACACACCCTCATCACCACCACAACCCCTCATCACCACCACAACCCTCATCACCACCACAACCCGTCATCACCACCACAACCCTCACCACCACCACAACCCCTCACCACCACCAACTTCTCATCATCACCACCACCCCCATCATCACCACCACCCCATCACCACCACAACCCCCCCACCACCAACTCCCCACCACCACCACCCCCTCATCACCACCACATCCCCCCCTGCACCCCACCACATCCTCACCAGACAAGGAACACACAGCCATCTGGAGCTGCTTCACTACAGCTCATCAAGCATCAACTTGAAGGCTCTCCGTATATACTTGTACACCCACATACTCGAACCTTTACTCTTGATGACTCTCCGAGGCCTTGACCTTTGAACCCGTGTCTCCACCTCCTACTCCACCATCCCCAACACCACTACCCCCAACAACATCACCACCACTACTACTACTACTACTACTACCCCCAACACCACCACCACCCCCAACACAACCACTCCTAACACTACCATCACCACTACCTCCACCACCCAACACTACCACTATCCCCAACACCAGTACCCCCAACATCACCACCTTCACCACCACCCCCAACATCAGGTGAGGAGTCCGGCTCATCATCACTGACGACTCACCCACTTGACAAATAACACAATGTAAACACGAAGACAAATTACTGACCGGAGCTTAAATGACTGTCAAAACACCTGGCTTCATAGGGTCACTCATTAAATTGGTCCCTGTCCTTGTAAGCCCCGACCTAATCTAACCCAACCCAGCCCAGTCCTGAACAAACTCCCATCAACTGCTTAGACAAGAAACAACAGGCAACCGGGTGGCTTTACTTAACATACCGTAGCTTAAGTTACAAGTTATGGTCAATGTGAGTGAGTGACACACACTACGTAAGGTCCCTCAGCACCACCTGTTACTGCACCACGTGTTTGCTGTTCAACACCTCAGCACAAGTGGTGTACGTGACCACACACAGAAGGACGTCACACCAGCCCCTCATAGTGACTTGAAGGAGGTCGACCCAGTCCACTCTTGCTGCTGCTGGGGAGTGTAAAGGAGCGGTGGTCCTCCCTGACAACACAGTCGGTATTATTACAAGTTATAATACTGAAAAATGGTTCTTGATCTCAGGTATGCACTGTGTAGCCTTGCATGCTTCTGTGCCCAGCGGCCCTTTGGTGGAAACTCATCCATGTTTTATTTATTTATTTTCGTCCCCGCCGCTTGTTGAAGTGGGGAGGGGGGTGAAGTATCAGCTGCTATTAATTTGTTTTAACTGATTGTAATTGTTTTTTTTAAGGGATATCCCGTAATTGTGATACAGCTCTGAACTGCCTATTGGCTCCGGTGCTTGGCTTTGAGCCTAAATTCCATAAATCAATCAACCAATCAATCAGCCCGCGCCATTCAC